GGCCGAGCCGACCGGAGCCCTGGGCGGTCCCGCCGGCGGCCTGCAGGGGGCGGGGAGGAGGCGGCCAGAGCCGAGCCAGCCCTGAACACCCAAGAACTGGGGATGCGGAGACGCTTTCCCCGAGCTTTGGGGGACGAATCTCAGCTGTTCACCAACACAGGCTGACGTCGCCTACTGAGCTCTAAGCTCTGGCCTGGCCCTGGCTGGGGGAATCCTGGAAACCGCCTAGGCCGTAGCTCGGGAAGCCGCCTCGCTCGGGGTTCATGTTACTTCAGCAGAAAAGCCCCCTCGGCTTGGCTGCCCCTTAGGCCAGTTGATTTTTTTTTTTTTTGAGGTTTTGTTTTTTTGTTAGTTTTTTTTTTTTTATTTTTTTGCTATAGGGCATAGGGCATGTACGCTCGCCAAAAAGAGACAGAGAGATAGAAAGCGAGAAATCACCACCACAATCCCTTCTCCATTCTCCTGTCGAGATCTTGGGGGGCACACACACACACACACACACACGCATGCGCCTGGCCTGTCTCCTCTCCGGATATTGGGCACGCGCACACACACATGACCGGTGTGAGATTAAGCCGCCAGGTCTGCGATTCTAACCGGGGTAGTAGACTACATGGGAGTTCAGTGACATAGCCATTTGGCTAACTGCTGGTCCTGGATCTTTGCTATTGTGATAGTCTTGAGTTTGAAGGTCCTAAGGAGGGGAAGCATCCTGGTGATGTCAGGGCAAGCTATCCTCTAATGTCTGAATGGCCAGTATTTTCACAGCAGTAAAAGATTTTTGAAGTCAGGAAGTATTTCTGAAATAAGCCCTTAAATAAGGATTTTTTTAAAATTTCATTTTTTATACATTCAATCACATTATTTGGCTTACAAAATGGGTATTTTAGCAGGTGAACATTTCTCCCTAGTCCAGTAACTAAAACTATAAAATATCTTTGACAGATAATACCACATTTCTTTGTGCTGTTAATGCTTTGCCTCCCTATTTTTCTTCTAAATGTCCTTCCTGAGACCCTCCTCTTTCTCACACACACTATATCTGGTATTTACATATATATATATATACTGTTTCTGTATCCTTTAGTCAATCAGTTTCATTCATAGAGTGTGGACACTTGGTATATATTAAGTGGGGACATACATACTCCTTCATAGCCTGGCTTGCTTTGCTGAGCAGTAAATCTTCCATATTCATCACTTTGTGTCAAAAGCCAGGGTTTTGTTTTTTTGTGGCTGAATAGTATTCCATAGAGTATATGTGCTACAGTTTTTCTATCCATTCATCTGTTCGTGGACATTTGGGTTGTTTCCATGACTTAGCAATTGCGAATAGTGCAGCAATAAACAACTATGTGCAAGCACTTTTCTGATTAAGTATTCTGCTGTCCTTTGAGTAGATACCAAGGAGTGGGATTGCTGGATCATATGGTAATTCTATTTGTAGATTTTTGAGGAATCTCCAAATTATTCTCCACAGTGGCTGGACCAATTTACATTCCCACCAGGTAAGAGAGTTCCTCTTTCACCACACCCCCGCCAGCACTTACTGTTTTTTGTTTCTTTTTTAATCTTAGTTATTCTGACTGGTGTTAGGTGGTACCTCATTGTTGTTTTGATCTGCATTTTCCTTACAATGAGGGATGTTAAACATTTTTTAATATGCCTTTTAGCTATTCCTTTGTCATTTTTAGAGAGTGGTTATTTTCAACTCATTCTCCCATCTTTTAATAGAATTGATTATCTTTTTTTTGCATCAGCCACCTGAGTTCCTTGTGAATTCTGGTTATCAGTCCCTTATCTGACACATAGTTTACAAAAGTATTTTCCCATTCTGAGGGCTGTTGATTCACACTAATTACTGTGTCTTTTGGCATGCAGAAACTTTTTAGTCTGATGTAATCCCACTTGTCTATTTTGGGGTTTATTGACTGTGATTTAAGGGTCTTATTTAAGAAGTCTTTCCCT